CCCTGCACGTCTATGGAGAGACTGAGAGAAGGGAGCTTAAAAAAATAAGTGCTATTTATGTGTGCGAGCCTGGTATGATAGAGAGGCATTCATTTCAGTACACCTAGAATATGGAATACTTGTAGTGCTGTCATGCCCTAGTAGCAGGCTGGTACAATATATTGTATAGGATGAAAAGCTCTGAACCTAAAAGGCCCCCTTGTGATCCATGGGGAGGATGCTTCCTGGGCCCCCCTGCTTTTTGGGAGGTTTCTTTCTCCTTGCTCTGGGAGCACAGGCTGCTGAACTGGAAAACATTAACTTCTGCTGGAGTGGGGCTTGATTTAAAGGACAGCCTTCTCAGGGGTGAGAAGCAGCTTTGCAAATACATTAATGAGCTTTCCAATGGCTGGGCTTTATGTTCTCCTTCCTACTGATAGCAAAGGCGGCATGGTATCTTGGGTTGTGATATTTATTGCTCGCAGCTTAGTTTGATTCACTTGAACCTGAATTTCCAAGCCACATTAAAGTCAAGGGGTGTGAATCCACTTAAATTGAAACCAAATGACAGCTGGCTGGGATCCCTGGGAAGGGAAGCTGTGGAGCTATGCACGCTACCCACTGAAGCTGATGGGGAAAGTGGTTTTATACCTTTGTCAGTGGGAAAGCTCCCATTAGCTGCTGGTGGTAAAATCGTTTCCAGTCAAAGTGTATATCCAGTGTCTGTGCTTGTAAGCTCTGTATGTGTGTGCACAGGGACCTGAAATGATGAAAACTCATCTGAAGCCTCAGCCTGGAAGCTGGTGCAGGTTGCTTAGGTCCAGGCTGAGCTGCTGTGGGGGTGTTCATTGAGGAGAGGAGACTGTTTTCAGCCTAGATAATTAAAAAGTAATTTGACATAACCACAGAATAGCATTCCAGGGACTAGAGGCACCATGTCTTCTTCCTCATTAATTAAAGATAATCCAAAATTACTGTCTTTAATTACTTGCAGAGAAGGGCTTAGTAGCTCTAACATGATGCAGTGTTTGAAGCTGAAAAATTCCTCAAGTCCCAGGACAATGTGAACCAGCATCCCCTTGCAGTGCCACTAGGAGTAAATATCTTTATGAACAATTAAGATGTGTAATTCTGAGTTACTGAGGAGATGAGTTGGGGTGCCCATGGTATCAGGATGTTGTTCTGCAGCTCTGCTGGTGCTGAGATGCTCAGAGGGTTGGTTTGCTTTCTTCTCAAGTGTTTTGTGTTCTTAATCCACGTTGAATTAGTTCCAGCTATTAGCAATAATTGCCAGCTTCCACATGAAGATGAGCTGAGTACTGCAGAGCTGGTAGTTATGAGTTTATCCACAAATGCTTTTTAGGTGTTTCCATGTTTACGTGCAGGTGAGAAACTTTCATTATTTCATGCTATTTCTAAGTGCATGTAGAGGAGCACTAACGCAGAAATGCTTGGTCTGATCTAATTTTTTGCAGCTGTGTGCTTAAATTTTGAGCTTACCATGAGCATTTTTCCTCCTCATCCAGATCTCAGCAGGAACTAATCTTTTACCTGCTGGTTCTCAGCTGTCACCCATTTGCAGATTGAGTCAAAGCAGACTTGGAAGAAAGATATGGAAAAAAGATGGGATAGCATCTCTGACTTCTGGGCAGTGTCCCCAGATCCAGAGATGGAATGGGGAGGTGGTGGAGAGCCAGAGAGCTGGGGGTGTGGGGCTGGCACTGGTGTGTGCTGGGGTAAAAAGGAAATAGGATGGCACTACTTGCAGTCTATGTGACATCATTTGCCAAGCAGACCCCTGAAAATGGAGCTAAAAGCCTGGGAAATAAACCTGGGAAGTTGGGGGGATAGTCTGAAGCTGGTGGAAAATATGCAGTTAAAAGCACTTTGAAGTACTGCTGAAAAGGTGAGAATTGAGCTCTTATGGGGTGCAGCTGCTGCTTGTCAGGCCCTGGGGTGTGTGGTGCTGAGCTCTGCTCAGGGGTCCTCATCCAGGAGCAGGGAGGGACAAAGGAAGAGCTGCTTTCCATCCCAAATCCTGTTTGGGCTGTGATCTTACCCTTCTTGTCTCTACCCCCAATTCCCTGTAAAATGGGAATGAGGATTTTTCTTTTTTTTTTTTTTTTTTTTTTTAATGGGGCAATCATTTTCTTTCAAACAAAGCCTCTGGGTTCAGGCCTGGTCCCATAAGACATACTTGAGGTTACACCATACAGCCCAGTTGGGCTTGTCTACTCTCCTGTGGCGTTCCTTTCCCTCTTCACTTTATAGATAGCTTATAGCCTCGTGGCTCCTGAGCTCATACTTTCCTATTGAGCTGCTTCACACTATAAATCATCATTGACCATTACCACTCTTCCTTAGCTTCTTACTCTGATTTCATGCGGAAATAATTCTTTATTCTGGCATTATCTGAGCTTTCTGTACCTTTCAGTAAGTCTGGCATTGCAATGCCATAATTTAAGAAAGGGATGGGGGAGGCACAGAAGATGGTATAGAAACACGATGCAGCTCATCTCACTGCAGCAAGCTGTCCAAATGCACGCTTGCTGCACAAGAGATGAGACTGATACATTCATTTCAGGGCCAAGATGTGAGGATGTTTTGCTGCATGTTATGCAGGATTCAATGGAGCAGAGAGAGCTTAAAGCTCCCCCAGTCATTCCCTGCCTATGACAAACTGTGCCATCACGCTGCTGTAAGGCAGGAGCCACATACACCATCATTTTCCCTTTTTTATATAAAAAAGTACGAGCAAGGCTTTGAAAACCCATTTATAGCTCCCACTGCAGCTTGCATAAGTGTCACCTCGCAGTGTCTAGCCAGGAGACAACTGTCTGTAGCTGTGAGCCCAAAACCTGGGGCAGCTCCGGAGCCGTGCTGGTGGCGAACAGCCCCGTGTGCTCGCAGCCTTGGAGCTGGGCTCTCGCTGCATCAGCTCTTTCCATCGTGTGGGGGGGCCTGGGATGCGAGTCCTCCTCCTCCAGCGAGAGCAGCAACAAAAGTCACTCTTTAGCCCCTGCCAGCTAAATGGAAGAACTAATCAATCTGTCCTGCTCTGCTTGTTTAATGTTCCTCTTCTGCAGAGAAGTGAGACAGTTACTTACACTTTCCAATATGTTGGGACAGTCTTTTGGCCTCAAAATGCTCCAGAATAATGAAAAAGTCTATTTACAGTAGCAAAAGCTCAGTCTGCTCCCTCCTGGGATTAATTTACTACACTGGGATTTCTGAGAAGACTGTTTTCTGTCTCAAAACTAAGAGTGGCTTGGCAGCTGCTTATTAATGCCAGGTATTAAGCTTTCTCAAAGGTACCATGTGATTTATTTCTTAAAGAATTTTGTGAACCCTTCTGAAGGGGAAGGGGAGAATAAAAACCTTTCCTCCTGTGGTGACAGGAGCGTGGTAATGCTGCCCTTGGACCACGGATGCATTTGAGGGAGGAGAGCCCTGCTGGAGCTGCAGGCAGTGTCTGCACAAGGGGCAGGCTGCAGCGGGGCTGCCCCAATCCCCCTTTACCCAAGGGTTGCTGGTGTTCCCAGCCTGATGGGGAAAGGCTCAACCCCATCACTGTAGTGTCAGGCCAGGCAAGTAGACCCTGCCGTGGGGCTGGAGCAAGTGCATCCACTGTAATCACCTCACTTTGCAGGGCCTGATGGCTGCTCCCTGTTTCAGGGAGCCAGGTTTGGACAAGGAACTGCTGGGACAATCTCAGCTTAAGCTGCCATTTCGGTTTCCAGTTTTGCTTTGTTTTCAGCAGTAATTGTGTGATTGCTCCTGCAAAACCTTGTTTGCATTGCAGTGCATTTGGGCATGCAGATTTGCAACTGCTTCTGTCCTTGTTGTGGAAGCTGGTTCAGGAGCAGTGGCACCCAGCAAGGTGCTCGTGTCCTGGGGGAGCTGCGCTGGAAACCTCCCAGGAGGGCTGGAGCTGCCCTGTGCTGAGGCTGTTGAACACTGTGCAGCAGCAAATGGGTTATAGGCAATGAGTTTTGCACTCTGCTGTCTGATGTTGTGGTGGGTAAGTGAAGAGGACAGCGCTGTGAGCACCAGACACATCTTATTATCTGGGACTGGCTAAATCTGTACCTTCTGGGGACTGGCTAAACTCACACCTTCTGGAGGCTGCTGTGTTTGTTACAGCTGTGGTTTTGCTTTGCTGTTTAGCTGTGAAGGAGTACTCAGGGAGGTTCTGACACTTGATGCTGTATATCTATCTGCCCATGGTGTAGTGCTGTATCTCTGCCCTGTGAAAAATGAACAAACCCAAGTGCTACACTGAGAGGAGTACAAAGGCAGCAGGGTTTGTCTTCCTGCATTCCTCTCACCCCAAATGCAGGATCTGGCCTTTCCCTCCTTGGCTCCCCAGCCCGTGCCTCCACGCACACGCTATCTTGCCAGTGCATTTACATTCTTTGAGCCGAAATCTGACTCGGAGCTCCCGCCGCAGCTTCGATTCACAAAATTCCAGGCTCACGTCACCGGAGTCAGTTAAGAAAATAAAAGCCCAGAAGAAATGAAAAAGCCAGCTGTGTATTGTAGTAGAAGTGCCGGGAGTCTGCTGTTCCAGGTCACAACTGTGATTTCACTTCTGTCTCGGGATGCCAGTTGGTGTACGGCAGTCCCGGAGCTATACGGAGGGGTTACAGGTTTCTTCGTTGCAGCCTATAGATTCTATAGCAAGACAGCTGACTTTCCATTACCGAGAGCCTCTGGACCCCAGAGGGTCCCTGAAGGCAATTATTCCTAAGGCTGACCAGCTCATAAATTTCACATTTCATTAAATTGGTTGCTCTTGTTTTAAAAACAACATCCCAGCTGTTCCTCGTGTCCACCTCAGGTCTAACAAGGAGGGAAAAAGCCAGATTTGTCCAACAGTCTCCCAGACTGTAGCTTTTTCCATACGATACCTTCCCATGCGTTAAAGCTCTGCTAGACTCGTTATGATGTCTTTGAGCTGCGAGATGTTTGGCAAGAAGAAATCCCTCTTTCTCTTGCGTCAAGAGAAAGCCATGGTATGTATGAGAAATGCAAATAGCTCGGCTAATTCGGGAAGGCAGCGGCGGAGATCATGGCCCGTGTCCCACGGAGTGGGGTTGCGCCTTGGCTGCGGCTCCTCGTGCGGCGTGGGTTGTCAGCTGGAGCTGCACTGCTGTCTAACCTCTGGATGGGATCAGTGATGAACACAGCACTGCCAAAAGCAATTCAGCTCCTAGGAGGCAGCTGATATACTGCGACATTCTTTTTCTTGCGGGAGATTTATTTTCTTACCAGATAGCCTCAAAATTCTCCTGTTGAACTCTTTTCTGGACGTGGAAGAAATACTTCTATTTGCGCACAGGTTGAGGCACTCTGCCGGCTCACTAGAACTGCTTGCGCCTTCCATATTTGCTTACAGGATCGAAGTAGGCTGTGGAGAACAAGCATTTGTGATGGCACTTTCCTCTTCTTTCTGCCTTTCCCTGAAGCGTAGCAGCAGTCTTGTCTGTCACCTCTAAATACCGAAGCTTTCCATTCTGGTTCCAGTGTGTGCAGGTTGGCTGCAGTGTAACCATGCATAAACTAGACATGATGGTGGAAACTCTGTGGCTGGGATGTTCAGCGACTTCTCAAAAGCCACAAAGCTGGATTTTTGCTGCCTGTTTGCTAACAATGCCCACAGATCATCTCCTGTTCGCATTGCTGTGCTTTAAAAGAGACAGGAGTGATGGCTGTAGCTCTCCTCATCCCCAGGGCTATCGATGCCAGCCCAGCATGCAGGGAACAAGGGAGCCCCTGTTTAACCTAATGATGATAACTGCATAGCCAGCGAGGGGATGAATGACCCCACGGAGCTAAATGCTTTTCAGCTTCAGCACAATGCTGAAAATGTGCTGCTTTATTGTGGAGCCTCCAGTGTGCCTGCGAGAGGAGTGGTGATGTTCCCACCTGCTGCTGGGGAGGGTTAAACGGAGCCTTGGGAGGGAAGGCATCCTTGCTGGGAGGAGAGGATACTACAATGGTCAGAGCACTTTTGTTTGTTCTCCTTGCCTCTCCCAGGACTGCCTGCAAGGAGGTAAATCACTGAGTGACAGCCCTCTGTTCTTCAAGGCTTCGTCTTCAAATGGCAGTGCTCTCATTGCACGCCTTCAGAGCTGCTGGGATAAATTCTGCATCTAATCTCTGCAGGGTTTTTGTGCAAATGGCCCCAACTTTCTCTTGATTTTTTGCTGTGATGCCACTGATGTTAGGAAAACGCTGCCTCTGTTCTGTTGTATGTGTGTGTTTTGTGTGGAAATTGCCATCCGAGAGGATCTGTGTGCGAATTAACTGCTGTTATGCTTTGCTTTTTGACAAGCAAATGTGGATCTCCCTTCTGCTATTAAATGATATCTGGGCTGCCACCAGCTGAATGTCTTCTGTGAGCTGAGATGCTCGCTGTCCCTGAAAGCTGAACTGTGAATTGCAAGATCGGATTCCTTCTGTGCTTGTGGGACTCCAGTAAATGAAAAGCCAGAGCAGGAAAAGCAGCATTCACAGCCTACCAAACTCCGTGTGTCAGAGTTGCTGCAACGCTACAGACAAAAGCGTTTCCAGCCTGTCTGAAGAACTTGCTCAATGGTCCGTGTGTAATCTACGGACTCTGAAAAATAGTCAGGTATTTAGGTGTTCCTCTGGGGATGCAAAAATGCAGGTGCTGAAGAGGCCAGCATATGGCTTGATTAGGAAATGATATAAGTAGCACATCTGGGAGGGTTCTAATATTAGGACACACTTCAGCTGCTATAAAGTATGTTAAAATCTAAACTTTGTGATGTGACTGAGCAGCTTTCAGTACCATACTGCACAGGCACCCATAATTGACACATGCCTGTACCCTGGAATTACTATTGAATTAAACCAAAGCATGTCTCACCTGGAAAGAGCCACATCTGACTTTCTCCCTTGTCCTGCCTCAAAGTAGATGAAGTGAAAAGTCACTTGAAGGATGTTATTCAGAGCTTCCTGAGAATTATGTTTGCTTGTTTTGCTGTTGGCAAGCTTTGAATCTCTAGGACTAAAACTTGTGGATGTTTACCATTTACCTTCTGCAGCTGGGGAAGCCAGGTTTAAATCTGTGCTCCAGAACAGGTAGGCAGCAGGTCTCAAAACAAATATCTAATGTTGGTTTTCGCAGAGGAAGTGACTGATCCACCAAAGAGCCAGTGCTAGTGCTGGGGAATAATTTAGGCTTCTTTCCCAGGCCAACAATTCAGTTGAGAGGTGCTTTCCTTTAGCTTTTGTGGCGGGCTACCAGCCCACGGGAGCGATGTCTTGCTGCTGGAAGTCCTCAGCCTGGTCCCTGCTGATGTCTCCTAGTACCTGTTAGAGGCTAGACTGCTTCCTGCTGCCTTGGGACAAATTAGCAGAGGGTGTGGGAGAACTGGTGGCTTGATGGGCCTGCCTCTGCTGCGGAGGCACTTTATGAGGAGCATGCAACTGGCCTTGGTGGGACAGGTGCTGCTCCTGCTGGCTGCTCTGTTTCCTTTCCTTGTCTCCTGGGAACCTGATTTCCTCCTCTCCCATCTGCTTTCCGCATTTGCTGCCTGCTCAGCGTGGGTCAGAGCTGCTGTGCAGGGGCCCAAGCCCATGGGGGCTGCCCAGCAGAGCCCCTCCAGTGCTGGGAGCTGGGGGCTGTGATGCTGTGCAGGGAGGCACGGGGGAGCCCGTGTATAGGAGCACAACTCAGGCTTTCTGTGACTGGCTGTCTTTATTCAAATACCAATCTCAGCACCTTATTGTGCAGAAAAAATGGTGAAGCAAAGAAATAAACTCCACAGGGCAATGGGATTTGTTTGTCTGTAAGTAGTTCTGCTGATGTGCCTGGGTGTAACTAGGCAGAGGGCAGGTGCAGGAGCTTTAAGAAATAACTTAATTTTAATTTTTTTGTAAGTTTTAAAGTTGGACTAACTGTGCTTTGTAACCGTGTTCTTTTGATTGAGTGTCTGTCATATTATAGATGTTCTTGGAGAGTTGAGAGGAAAAGCAGCTTGCAAATTCATTAAGGAACTCTTCCGTGAACCTTGCGATTTCCAGTGGCATATCAAAAAAAAATCAGCTTAGAAAAGCAGCAAGTGTTTTAGGTGCCTGGCCAAGCAGCAAACATCCTCCAAGTCGTTTATTGCTAATCAGAGGCAGGAAAAACTGTTGCAATGAAAAGTGAAGTTACTTGGAAGTTGGAATGCCCTTTCATTTGAACACAAATAGTTTGTTTTCATCATTTTTCTCTGTGAATTGAACACATCTGTCTTAATTATAAAGACTTAATATGTAAAAAATAGAGCATTTGGAGTAAAAGGTATTATCTTTCAGTGATGCAGTGTACGCTAATGAATGCAGGAGTTAGCATGACATGCAGTATCTGTCCCCATTTATTCCAGGGGACTGGACTTCTACAAGGCTGCTCCAGAATCAGTGGGATGCAGAAGGGTCGTAAGGACAGGGCAGCAATTTGTGGATTTTCTGACACTGGTGTCTGTACTTCTGTTAGCTTCTTCTCAGTATCTTTAAATGTCAAAAGAAATCTGAGTATTTATTCGCTTTTTGAGGGGAAAATGTGGTCCCAGAAGTGTAAAAAATGCGAAGAAAACAAGAGGTGAATGCTTCCATGACATAATGTGAGGGATGTGACTTGCCAGTCAAAACTTGGCTGGCATATCGATGCAGTAAGCTGTATCCAGTAGGTAAGCAAATGGTGTCACCCTCTTCCCAGATCCCAAACAACCTCCTTAATGTGTAGGCAGCAGCCACCGATCCTCATGGAACAAACATGTCCCCTTCCAGCAGGAGAGACAACACAGGGTCCTTTGATTCCTCCTAATTGCCTTTCAGTGTTTGTGGTCCAATTGTACATTTTCTGCAGAAGTTCAGTAATTTTGGTCGCTGGCTTCCTCTCCTTGCTGACCTACAAATACCAGTTTTCAGGGAGAGATTTATGAGCGGCATAAAATTACCATCTTGTAAAAGCACAAATCATGGCTATAAATAGGGGTCTGGAATATGTGCAGGAGCCCCGAGGGAATAGTGGCTCTTGCTTTGTCTGCCCAGGATAGCCCTGCTAACCCAGGGTAAGGAGCCCGGTGCTCTGACTCTTGTAAGCTGGATCAGAGCCAGCCAACCTTCCCCTAATCCCCATCCTTGCGAGGATGGAAATAACATCTGGCCAGGCTGACAGTGGTCAGGCTGTATAGGAGCTGAGAGCTCTGAAAACTGAACCTCCTCAAGCCTCGTATGCATTTATCTTCCCTTGCAGAACATTAGCAGGCAGAGTTTGTTTTCAGTGAGTTATTTAGCAGAGAGGGGGATTAAGCCGAGGGCTAGCATTGATTAACCCCTGCATGTTGAGTTGTTTAACAGCGTAATGGATTAGTCATGTTTGCTGGTGACCTTTGTCAATTGAATCCTCCATCAGAAGTCTCTGCTGTCTTTTTAAACGTACAGATGCTTAAAAGCAGAGTCTATGAAAAAAATGTCCCTAAAGTGAGTAGCTGGCTTAGAGCATGGGACCGGGGCAAATAGTCCTGGAATTCCTGATTTTTTGGTTTGGCGTAGAGGTAAGCCATGGCACCCCACTTCTGCAGCTTGGCTACTTTCTGTTGCCCATCAAATGAATCAAAGTGCTTGTGGGCTTCTGTATAACAGACAGGCATGAGGTAGAAGTTGTCTGAATGGAAATGCATTGCGGGAAAAGGACTGAATTTTCTGTGGGACTTGGAAGACTGTAGAATGAGAGTCCAGCTTAGGACAGGAGTTAATGTCACCCTGGAAATTAAACCACTGTCAAGCTTAGTGATTAAGTAGTTGACTTTATTTAAAGGAAGGTATGGGGTAGAAATGCTGTGAGTGTAAATGTGTGAAGCTCCTTTGCTTTTGAAGGAGCTATGTCAATTTAGATAATCTAGATGGCATTTCTGCTGCTAAAGCCAGGACTGGGGAGAGGAAAAACTGCTCTGTGGGGCCAAACGTGACCCCACAATGAGCATCTGTAGGAGACTGAGGAAAAAAGGGTGATGTCCCAAACCAGAAGATGTGCCAGGCTGGTCCTGTCCTGGCCCCCCGCAGTACCCTCAGCTGCAAGGGGATGGGGCAAGGGCTCCTCGTGGTACCCAAGGGCTATGGAGAGCCCTGACTTTGGGCAGCCTCAGGCCCAGTGGAATGTCTGGATGAGGGTTTCTCAGATCTTCCATTTCCTCAGCAGTGCCATGAAGCTGTTATACTTGACTTTACAAGCAAAATACCTTCCCGCTGCAGCCAGGAGTTTTCTGGGCTCATTTTGCCATAGTACAAGTCAGGTCAAGAAGTTTGTTTGGTTTACTAAAGAAGATACTTCAGTTCAAACAAGACTTAATTCAGCGAAGCCCCATGGCCTCTGAAACTTGATCCCCTCTGGCCTCATGATTTATGAATACAAAGCTGGGGAGAAGTCTCGCTGGAAGAAAACAAGCTGTATGGAAAAAATAAAGGCATCGGAGCAGGTAGGTGTTAGAAACCCATCTGTGCAGAGGTGGCACAGCCAGGGGGTGTCATGAGCTGCAAAGTGCTCTGCCCTCCTGGGGGGATTTAATCCTGTGGAGGGGAGCAGCTGAGGATGGTTTGGAGTAGGTGCCCTTTAGCAGAGGGGTTGGACTGGGGTCTCTACAGCCCTGTGCTTTTGTTTTCCACAGATGTGGACAGAACTGGAAGGAGAAAAAATCCATAGTGGCACTGAGGTGGTTTGGTGGTGTTTGGAGGTGGGGCTGCACCAGGTGAGCAGCGATCAGGGCAGGGCCCAGCATCTTCCAGCCTCCCCTCCTGTTTCTGGAGCGTCCTGCCAAATTCCTGTTGTGAGCAGCGCTAAAAAAGACAAAACATCTGGTCCTCATCAGGACCACAAATTTCTATGCTGGCTGAATCTCCTCCCCCAGTGTTAATTATACGGATACCGATGTGCTGATGTTCAGTTGTTGCCCATGTGCATTGGATGCCTGCGTGTGCTGGGGGCTCCGTGCGTGTCTGCAGAGCCCCCAGCAAGCACAGTGCTGCTTCCCAGGGCTGGCAAAACCACGGGGAGTGACGGAGCTGATTGCATCCTGAAGTATTTGCTGTGTCACCGAACCCAACTTTTAACTCAGTTACAAACTGTAGGGCAAATATCAGGGTTCCTCGAGATCTCCTGGGTTGTTTAGGGACAGTGCTGCAAGTGAGAGCCAATGGTATATATGTGTACATAGCTTGCTAGCTTGTTTTATAAAAGTTACGGGTTAGTTATGGGTTCGTTGTAGCTCAGATACAAAGCACAGCAGACCACAGCCTGCCTGCTTCCTGTACCCTGACACGGTTTTGTGAGAATAGTTTTAATGCCTGAGGGAAGAGCAATTAGGGTTGATACTCTGCTGCGGTCTTTTTTTCTGCGTCAGATGCTCAAAGGGAAGTGAAATGCTAATGGAGTATTTTGTACCTCTTGAAAATGTGGCCAAAACACCTTGGACTTGTGCAGAAAGGTGTCTGAGGAAGAGACCAGCCAACCTGAAGGTTCAGATGGCTGCGAGGGTTGGTAACAAATCCAGCAGCTTGTGGATGCTCCAGAAAGACACCAGCCCTGGAAAATCCCAGCCCTCAAACCACTGAGGGTCTGCAGTAGGGAATAGGGGGACTTGTGGGTGCTGCACCCTGGAGCCCAGCAGAAGTGAGGGGTCTGGCCCAGGTCTGCACCTCAGGCCAGGCTGTCTGGCTTGCCCCAGTGCTGCCCAAACTGGAAAAATCATCAGTGCGAAGAGGGAGTAAAATACAGCAGGGACTTGTGGAAAGGTGCTGATGTGTCTGAAAAGGTGACTTACTGGAAACACTGAACAGACAGAAGTAAAAATTAGTCATGTTAGAGACCACTTGGTAGCTGGATAGGATTCCTTGAGTGATTCATCCACAAAAATGACTGCTTTGCCTGACGTTTTATTTCCCCTCTCTATTTAGAAAGTAGCTTAGACTTACCAAGACTGTGGCCCGTTGTCTGAATTGCTTTTTGATAGCTGGGTGGTGCGCATAGCATCCTCGTATTCTCATCATTTCTAAACCACTGCTTCAGCAAGGGGGGGAAAAGACAACAAAATTGAGGGCTTTGTCACTCCAGAAGCCCTCAGAGGAATGAACCTGTAATCTTGAGAAATCAAAGGGGAATCCAGGGAATGTTGCCTTGTGTCTTTAATGCAATAAAATTACAAATGGAAATGGCTGCCTGTAAATTGTGTCAGAGTTAATTGACAGAAATACTGGGGAAAAAGAGTTGGATGGAAGTCTCCAGGTTTGAAGCTGCTCGATTTCAGCGGAAGGACTAAAGAAAGGACCATCAGCTGGTGCAACCAAAACATGCTGGGATGCTTATGTCAGTTACTAGATGTGGATAGAGTAATTCATAAATGATACCAATTTTGGGTGTGCTTGGACATGTAAAATGTTCACTTTCCCTATTGCTACTGGTCATAGGGACTAAAACCTACCTGTGATTTTTTTCACCAGCTCATGTGTGGGGAATAAACCTAGCAAATGCCATTGTTTGTCCTAAGGAGAGCATGTTTAACATGAACAGGAGGGCCTGCTGTGCTGCCTGGTGCTTGCCAGCAAAGGTCAGTGTCTGAGGCAGGGGAAGGTTGAACCAGCTTGCCCCATGGTGGGAGCAGGAGCACGGTTTCTCAGTGCTGTGACCACACGTTCTTGTGAAATTCACGCAAATTTTTTCAGGATTACTGGAACACAGAAACCATCAGCGGAAAAGATCTCTGGTCATCCAACCCACTCATGGCAGAGCAGGGTCGTTCCCAGCCATGTATAGCTTTGTCCAGACTGATTTGATGTGACTCAAGCATTCAGATTTTTTGCCACTTCCTTTGGGCAAAAAAGCCACTTGCATGGCTGAGGAAACCTTGATGTAAGGATTATTTTCCTGGTATCTTAGACTGAATTTTATGGTACTTAATTTCCATCCAGTAACCTCATTTAAACCATGAACTGTACCTGGTTGGTGTTGTGCCCTCCCATATGCACAAGGAGTACACTCAGGTGGCACAGACTGAGAACCCTACCAATTTTTGGGATTACAGAGCTCTGAAACTGCTGTAATACAGAAAAAAAAGATAGCTCTAGGAATGTCTGCAGAGCTGTGAGCGTGGATTGCCATGCTTACAAAATCTATTCCACATACTGTAGGTTAAAATTTACAGCTTCCAATTTCTTAGGCAGTTTGATATCCCCAAATTTCCAGCAATTCATTTCAGGTTCAGGACTTTCCTGGGTAGGATTCCAGCACATCTTGAGGCGAGAGTTCATCTTGAAGAATTGTACTGTTGGTAGATGTGGTAGGGGAAAATGAAATGCAGACTTCCCCTCCATGCAACATGAAAGCTTGCTTGTACTTAGAAACCCCCAGTTCTGGTATTTAGCAATATCAAATAACTGCACGGACAAAAATAGCGTGGTTGAACACACAAAGAAGCAGGTAATGAGGGAGGATGTGATGTGATCACAGTTGACATCTGCCCTGATTGGCATCACAGGTAATCTGAGGTAGCAAGGAGGGGAAGCACCTCACTTCTAGAAAATGGGCTGTACCAGCAAAACTGCTCACCTGCATTCCTGGAATAGCAACGAGAAACCCAACAATTGCTGGGAGAAGTGACCCTGACAGGTGGTGGGTAAGGCAAACTTGTGAGCACAGAGTGCAAGAAGTGGAGGTGCATGGAATGCGAGCTGTCACCTGCTCGTTTGATTCCTGTCAATGCCTTTTTATCCCTAGGGAAATTCTAAAGCCTTTCTTATGGACAGGCTTGAAAAGAAACCCCACAGTGGCCTAGATGGGAATATTCCTAGCAGGCACACGAGGCTGGCCCCTGAAGCCAAATATCATGGGAATTCTGGACCTGCGGGGAAGCCTTGCGATTAGGGCTCACCTTTAATCTTCAGGCATGATTACGATGGGCAAACTAGAGCTCAGAAATTAACTCTGCAGTCCTGTCTTCAACAAAGCCTTCTTTGGGGTCAGCGAGAGTGAGTAATTGAGGAGTATCTTCATTTTTTTGACCCTTGTGAAGATCACAGGGTAACTCATAGGTCCTTGTGCAGCCTCAGGGCTTAACGTAACACTTTCTGTAGCACCAAGGATTATCTGCCTGCAGTCTAGACAGACTATATAGGGTTTAGCCTGGGCTGTTGACCACAGATCATAGGGGCATTTAGAAATAAAACAGATATGGAAAGTGAATAGCAGCTCTCCTGCTGGCCTTCCAGCCTGGCACTGGGCATGAAGAGAGGAACCAGACTGAAAGGTGAAGGTGAACTGAGTTCATCCTTCTCAACAGGCACAGCGGTGTGATTTCTGCCCTTCTGTGTTTAATATCAATGCATTTCAAACATACAAGGCTTGGAGTTAACACCAAACTCAGGAGAAGGCAACAACACTGGAAAAACAGGAGGAGTGGAAACTCTGTTCTCCTTATAATGCTATTTCCTCTATTAAACAGACCTCTTTGACTATGAAGCATTGAAACATACAAAAAAACAAGCCCCACCTTGTGCTGGCTGCTCTTTTCACTGATGGGGCTTGTCCTGGTGCCACCTCATGGCAAAAATCAGACTTAATTTCCACCAGAGCAGCTGAAGCTTGGATGAGCCGTCTGTCCAGCTCCCAGTGCTGGAGCTGTTTTGTAAAGGAATTGGCCCCCAAAGCCAAAGCAGGTGTTTAACCACCAGAGCCATGTTTTTATTTTTGTTCTGAGATGAGATTTAACTGTAGGAAGAATTCACATTAATCTGATTTAATAAATTTTGTAGCTGCTATTGGACCATAAAGCTTTCCTGAATGGTGTTTCACCTGTATGTAGATGGATAGTTTTTTGTTTTTTTTTTTCAAATCTCTTAATTTAAAATCTCTCAGCACTAAGCTTGTATTTTTTTCTTAAGTCTTAAATTGAATTTAAGGAATCATTTCCATGGCAGCAGGTGTGAGATCATAGTTCAGGATTATGACTTCAGCATAAAGCAATTCATAAAGGTTGGGTTGGGGTAGGGATGTGTTAAAGGCAGGTTATAAGATTAGGAATAGAGGAAAACTTTTTACAGATTGTGCTCTTCATGAATAACATTTGCAGTCATTGCTGATAGCAGTTGTCTTCCCTGATTATTTATGCAACGGCTCAAGCAATTCTAAGAAAGCTTCATTTTTCAATCTGTTCTCATCAGGTGTTCACAGGGTTTAACTGCTTATCAGTAAAATCTCGTGTTTTTCTGACTATCCCAGTATTTACTTTCAAACTACAGAATGCCTTTAAGTTTTTTTGGCTGAATGCTCGTGTTTGACTAGTTTCATAGTATATAAATGATTGCCGATTTCTGTTACCCATGTACCTTGAGTCTTTTAAAGCTCACCAGCGTCTCCCATCCTATAAATGATAGCTGAGCTCAAAATGCATTTAGTCTTAAATACTTGTATAAAAATATCTCCTGTTCCTTAAAGATCTCTGGCCACCTGCCCCTGCTGCAATCCATTCTGTTGGCTATGGAGATGTTACCCCAACTGGCTGCTGGAGGGATTTGGAGTTGGCATGAACCACCCCAACTTGTGTAAGCCTACTCGGAGCCCGCAGCAGCAGATAGATGATCCAGCCTGCTCCAGCTCAGAGGCTGGCTCTTGAAACTTGGCATGCAAATGCTGGAATTTTCCAGTTTGCTCTTACAAGCTTAATTCTGTGTTTCTCTGCTATTGTTGAGGAGGGGCAAACAGGTCTGTGCAAGCTTCTAAATCACCTGGAAAGCAACTGGAGACTGACTTGGACTGCTCAGCACAACTCCCTAGGCCAGGCTCTCAGCTGCTGCGTAAAGCAAAGTGGCTTCACATCTGGTGAAGGTCCAGGTTTGGGTGTTCTGGCTTTTGCTTTGGGAGCCCTTGAAGTATGGGTGGTAAATGAGCACTGCGCTGCTCTGACCTGCTTTTATTTCCTCATTTGCTGTGCTTTCAATGCACTAGATATCCCCCTCCTATTGCTGTATGCCTCTCAAAGTGAAGGTGACTTCAACTCTTTGAGATTTTAGGTGGCAATGGGATTTTCACTTGCAGCTGGAAAAAAAGGGTCTCATCCCGAAACAATGAGCTGCTTGTGTGGTCAGAAATGCCAGCAACATCTGGGGTGAGCAGATGAAGGGTCCTGGTGCTTATGTGGCTGAGGCTGAAATCAAACCCCACCTCTGTCGCTGAGGCTGCCAGTGCCTTGAGAGGGCTCTCCAGCTTCTGGGCAGAGATGAGACATCCATAGAAATATTGTGGATGAAATTGCATTGTTTTGCTGCAACAAAAAGTGTTACTGGGGAGAGGTCTCTGCAATCTTCAGGGTTTGCTGGTCCTTCTAGCTGTCATAGGTCCTCATCTGTACTCCTGAGGTTCTCTCCACGTGACTGAAGGGGAGAGCGAACATCTCCCTCTGTGATGTGCTGTTTGAGTTGTGGAGTAGCTGCTCTGCTCCATGCCAGAGGCACCTGTGAGCCCGTGGGAAGGACTGTCTGAGAGTAGTTGGGGATGTTGGAGCAGGAGGTGCAGTGGTGATGGATGCTGCCCTGGTGTTTGCAGGGAAGCACAGGTGTTACTCGTACCGAAAGAACTCGCCTCCAGGCTCCTCCTGGGTACAGAGCCCAACTTAATTTGTCTCGCCAGCCTCCAGTCATCTGGTTCCTAATGAAAGGTGGGTACTGGAAGAAGCTTTCATCTGAGACGTGCCCGGGAGTGCCACTGGCACCGTACTCACCCTGCGCAGGGCTGCAGCCAGCACGTGCGAGCTGCGTGCCTCCTCCAGCTCCTGGCTCGGGCATGCAGCCAGCGCGTGCCTCCCCTGCCTCCGGTGAGCAGCTCCATCAGCAAACAGCCTCGTTGTGTAGCTCGGGCTGGGGCCTTTCCAGGTTTGTATGGAGGCTGGTGGGAGGGGAGGACATCCCAAGAGGTCTAGGTGAAGGGAAACGCTTCCTGCATCTCTTTCTGTGGAACTGTGTGGAAATCTTTAGGCTCCAAGCTGAGCGCACAGGCAGCACCTGTTTTTCCTTTGCTCCCTTGTACGGATCTGGTGGGATTTGGCCTCCTGTGTTTTTGGGTTTTTGATGTGCCAGCTGAGAGCAATTACCTGCACAAGGAGCTTCTGGCAGCTCAAAGATCAATGCTGAGCAAATAGCTCAGTGTAACCCCTGTTGTACCGATCCTTCCAGTGGATGTCCCCCAAAGCAGGGACAGGATGAGTGACCCCAAATCATGTGTTGTCCCTCTAATTATTGATGATAAACAGGAACAGCCAGTGGCTATCCTGGCTCTTGCAGTGCTGAGTGCCAAACCCTTGGATGAGGAGGCAGGGTGCTGAGTGCAGGTGCCAGCCATGGTTATTTCCCCTATGGACAATAAAGGACCTCAAGGTGCTGCTCTGCAGGGGCTGGGATGCTTTGGTGGGGCTTAGGGCACGACTGTAGGAGAAATCACTGCTCCTTGAAATCTGGTGACCCCGGATACTCGAGTCACAGGACTAGGGACTTTTCAGCTGGGTGCACGCTAGCAGTGGGCATCGTTCAGGTCAGTAGGTATCGGTGCTAGGAAGCACCTTAAGGGGAAGGCTGTGTCTGGTTGTTTTTCCCTGCCTGCTCTGGTCTGGGGCTTGCTGGGGGTGCGGTGCTGTGTGCCCCCGGCCCTACAGTGCAAGGTTCAGCCTCTGCCAGGACCCTGGGGCCTGAGGGGTGGATGCAAAATCTGCCTGGGTGCTGGGGTGTCACTTAATGGTGTGCGTCCCTTGGTGTTTGTCACTTCATGGTGCACATCCCTTGCACCATCCCTGCACCATCCCTCCGCGTTTGTCACTGGTGCAAGGAACACACACTGTCCTTCGGTGTTGCTGATGGTGCATGTCCCTTGCAC